TTCTTCTCTGGAGAAGGACGACACAGCTACCGATATTCGATACAGAAATGATGCAGCGGCTGAGCCTGGGTTCTGTTGAGTTATTTCAACACAAAAGAAAAGATGTTGGCACCATTACTTAAAAGACAAGATTCAAAAGAGAAATAAGAGAGACAGCAGAAAGAAATCAGAACTTTCCCAGTTAAGGGACAATGTCCCCTGTGTTTGCAAAGGCATTGGGCCCTGAGAGCAGGGGCCGCGAGCATCGCTACGAAACTGACCTGCTGAGAGCCCCCTGTGCCCTCTGTGGCTTTTACTCCAGACAGGACCAGGCCAGAGCCCAGCGACTCCTGAAATTCCCCCGGCCGTTCTCTAAGAAATGGGTGTCACTTAAGGCAGTCAGGGTCTTGGTCAAGCAAAACTGTGACCGCTTAGAGTCCCACGCAGGCAGGGAGACAGAACCTTGTACAAAGAATGAGTCTCAAGCTTCCATTGGCGCTCCTTGTGGGCTGCCCAAGTTTATAGCGAGGCCGATATGGACGGATGGATGGTGTCCCAGGGGAATAAAAGTGTTACAAATTGCAATTTGGTAACATTTTTATAACTCACGGTCAATTGCATGTGGTCTACTCTCAGAAATTAGTTTTGTGGGTATTTTTTCTTTTTCTTCCTTTTTTTTTTTTTTAAGTTTGTTTCTTTAGAGCACCGGATACCACAGTTGAAGCTTTGGTTTTATTTCCAAGAGGAAACAAAAAGTAAACGTGACCTAGTTGGCATCGCCACCATTTTGTCTTCTGAACTCTTGTCCGCCTGCTGTGTCTCAGCAGAAGTTTCAATTCTGGGCCCAGCAGCACCTGTTAGTGTTCAACCAGCAGGTCTGTATCCAAGGCGGTGCTCCCTCCGCAGCTGGTGGGTGCCGACCCCCTCCTTGGGGAAGCGTCTGCACGTTGGTTGGTGTTGACTTTGAGTTTTCCTAACGGCACCAAGCCCGGCTGATGAATTGTGGAGGCCTTTCAGGCCCCAGGAAAGACAGAGGAGAAAGGGAGGTTCTACCCGCCTGGAGGAAGTTGTTTGAAGTAAAGCAAGTGGGTTGCTAATGCGTCCTAACCTCAGAGTAAAGAGAACCCTCTTTGACACTTTGAGAGGGGACACGGCAAGAGAGAGGGTGACATACCCGGGGGATCAAGCATTGCTATTTGTAATAATACTGCTAGGGTTTATTGGCGCTCAATGATCTTCATACGAACCCTGTGGCAAGCTCATGAATTTTTTTCATTTTAGGGTTGGGGAAATGGAAGGCCAAAGGGCCACGTGTTTCCTGTTCAAGTTCACACAGTAAATGAGAGAGAGGCAGAGCTGGGTTTCAGCCCAAGTCAGTCCAGCCTCATCCACACATCCTCTTAACCTTAGAACGCAGGCCAGAAGCTCGTAGTTACAGAATCCATGTTTGGGAGCCCTGACAAGTGCTAGCCCAGGTCCCACGAGAACAGCCCAATATTTCTTCTCTTATGTCCCTCACTTCTACGTTTAATGAGCAACTACTATGCAGCCAGGAGACGCTCAAAAAAAAAGTAGGTGAGATCCTGCTACCATGATATTTCATTTGTTCACAGAGGTGTCAGGGAGTTAACAAAGCAGCTGCAGAATTTCAGACAAGAGCGCTGAAGACAGTGAGACATGGCCATATGGGAAAGGGGTCTGGGGAGGTGAGGAGGGCCCCCAAGGGAGGAGATTTAAACCATGACCCGAAAGGCCACAAGAACCAGCCAGGTTCAGGTCATTGCAGCCTGATGGCAGCACTGTGCGCAGGCCGAGAAGGAGGGGGGACCCGGGGCTCAGCCACATGGAGTGTGTGCAAAGTGGGGTGCAGGGCTGGGAGACAAGACTCAGGGTTCATTTGATAACGAAGTTTTCACCTCATTGGTGCTGGGCAGTAGGGGCGCAAAGGTAAATAACACTCAGGGCTCACAGCCCAGGGTGAGAGGCAAATGA